CAGAGGATATGGTGAAATCGATGAGGTCGACCTCATCTAGCAACAAGGGAAATGGTCCTTCCACCTATGGCAAGGGGAAAGGTCCTTCCACCTCTGACAAGGGGAAAGGTCCCCAATCATCCTCCGATGGTCGATCTCAGGGGGTTATTAGCGAACTCGGGCCTCTCCATCCCACCCTGAAACCCACAGCTCCTGCTCCTCCTCTCCCTTCGAAGTCGACCAAAGCTCGCCCGCAATTCTAATGCGGTCGTCGTGTCGACCTATCTTATACAGATGCTCCCTGCGAGGGAGACAAGGCAATGGGGTAAAAATCGTCAGAGTCGAGCAACCTATACGACCAAGGCCCTTTCTCAAATGTGTATCTTCCTCTCTTTAGTTATTCATTGATGATTACCCATAATCTCTATTTTGAATTCGACCTTCACATGTTTTTGATAGCTGCTCGTATCCCTGGTCCCCATGCTCCATGAGGATACCAATTCGACCTTCCCGACTTATGAGGATCTGTACGCAGACCTCAAAGACATGAAAAGGAAAATGATGAGCTCACCTCGAATGGCTATAAGCTGAAGCAGGAGGTCGACGACCTGAATCACCACATCGCAACCCTCCAAAAGGAAATTGATGTGTTAAAGGCAAAAAGGGATGCCGACATGGAGTCTGCATCCCACGTGGGTCGAGCATTTGGGCGCCAGAATTATCTGACCTCGCGAATAGGGTTGGCCTTTGTTCGTTTGTACCGCAAGCATGTTGTAAAGGACTATTGCAAGTCCCTTGATTTCGTGAGCCAGCTCGCCACTGCCGCCATGGAGTATGTTGACTTTGTCCTTGACCAGGCTGGCCAACAAGTGAAGGCCCCTGACCAAGAGGCGATCCTAAAAAAAATTCCTGCCTAACCTGCTGTGTACGAGGGCTAGCCCAACCTCCCAAAGGACCACTATGTTGGTGGGCAAAAACCTTAGAGGAGTGCCTCCCCAAGCACGACCTTACCAAGGGTCTGAGTCTGCCTATTGGGCCGCTGTTGGTCGAGCCAATCTCTTAAGCTCCCCATGCCGAAGAGCTTGATAGGTGTCCCCCTGGTCTAGGGTTCGAGATGCCGAGGTCGTCGAGCCATCTGCCGAAGATTCTTATGCTGCACCTCCTGCGTGATTGAACTGTCTGCTGCTGTACTGTTGAATATTTTGTTTGATTATCCTTTGTATCATTATGAACTTGGCTTGTACCCTTTATATTTTGGAATGACATGTTTGGTTTTGCCTCATTGTGCAGTTGACTTGGAGATGTTTCGTCCCTTTTGAAATAAGTTGTTACCCTTGAGATGTTTTACCCTAATCTCTGTATATGTATATTCACCAATAATTTCTCGAATCCTTGAAAATTTGACCAAATAAAACCGATGTTTACACATGAATGCCACGAACACTTATCCTAGTATATCACCTAAAATTTAACCAAGTATGCCACCAAAATTAAACTAAGTGTGCCATCAAAATTTAACCAAGTATATCCCCAAAATTAAACCAAGTAATCGACCTTCTACCAGTATGATCTTCTATATTGACGTCCTTAAATTACCTTTTTTAGCTTAATTGATTTGCAACTGAGACTTGTGAAAAATTACAAAACAATCAATCACCGTAATTAATTGAATATAGTCAAGTACGTAGGGTTCGACATTCCCAAAACTAGAAATAAAATTTACTCTAACATAATAAATATTAAATAAAAGAGAAGAATAAGATTATCATTCTCGTGTACTGGTGTTACTAGGAATTCTCGCGTTAATCCTCTGCCCGTGGTGTTACTGCTTCTTGTCTCTTATTTACCCGATTGTGGTGGCTGCTGCAAGTCTCCAAATAATTAAATCTTGTGTATATGATCAAAGGGCTGCGCAAATAATTCCTCCCAGGCCTCTTTTTATTTTATTCCCCAGCCGCCTCAATTAAGTTGATGGCCCAAATTGGGCTCAATTAACCCATGTTGGGCTTAATGGCGTTAGTGGTTCCAAACAATATGTGGGCTTTTATTCTATAATCTTGGGCCTAAATTATGTTGCATATAATAGGCCGGGTATCGCTCCCCCATATTACGCTGGCTGAAATTTTATTCAATGTCACGTCGCCAAAGAAAATACTCCAATATCTTAAAAAATAAGAGAAAAAAAAATATCAAAATCATAGCACTTGGATCCATCTAATAAATAAATAAGTCAAAAAATATATAAGTGTGATAAAATTAAGCATATAACTACACAATTTTTCCAACCCATCAACTACAGCTTCAGAAATGTTGCGCTGGTATCTTTGGGGACAAAATGCATATACCCGTCAGTAATACACAAGACGTATTTTGTCTTGCGGAAAGAGATATTCTCGTCTACTCTTCTCGCTTTTATTTCCTTTGTAATATTTTGCTTTTAGTTCAAGATGTAAGAACTAAAACATAGTATTCAGTTCATAGATTTCTCATTGTATTTCAGATCGTAATCGGGATCTCACTCATTTTGGTTGCTACTAGAGCTATGTTAATTCAGATATTTAAAGTTTGTAGGTTAAGTGCTAAAAATCAGCATATGTTATTTGTTTTGGACAAAATGCAACTTTAAAATATATATAAAAAAAAAAAGTTAGATTTGTTACGGCCATAAATCAGATTTTGGTCTAATATGGTCATATGGTGGCGGTGTTCCGCATGTGGCATGGCAGGTCGTAAAGTAGCAAAACAAAAACTTTTAAAAATGTTTGCCAAATCCTCCCAGAGCCCAAGGCACATGCACGAAGCAGCCACCCTGCTTCAATAAACATTCATTATTTACTTATTTACTTTATGATATTCATTTATATTCAACATTAATATTAGTTAGTCAGTACCCTTTTCTTTCCTAATAAATTAGGAGGACTGGTTTTTGATAAAAATAAAATAAGATTAATGATACCTGTACAATTACAAGCCTGTAATTAATCTATCCATCATAATGGCATTACAATGAATGTTCATTATTGTTACATGACATTGAAAATTTCCTTCTTTTAATTAATAAGGAAAAGCATTAGTGTAGCTAGGCATAAATACCTTTGTGTGTGCATGTGTATGTATATAAATGAGTAGAGAAGAGAAAATAAAAGAGAAAAAAAAATTAGATACTCATGAGAAGAGATTCCATATTATGCGCATCTCTTAGGAAGTCATATTTGTGTGTGCATGTGTATGTATCTAAATGAGTACTTAAGTATTATAAAAAATGCCCAAGTAGTTCAAAATTTCAGTTAAATAAAAAAATAGTGTTAGTTGGATAGTAGCTCCCCAAGTTCCCTATTACCTGGATCTTACAGACTGTCTATATAGATTATAATATATTATTTGAATATCTGTATATTTGAAGGAAAAAAAGAAAGCAGCTCAGTGAGATCACTAGTTACTTTTGCAGGGTTCAATTGAACTCTGATTTTTTTTTTTTTAATTTTTTTTTGGTAAAAGGAAAAAGAATAAAAATGGTGGAGGTATTGGTTAGAGAAGGGAGATCTTTGGAAGTAACTCCAACATGGTCAGTTGCTACAGTGACCACAGTCATGGTTTTTGTCTGTTTATTTGTTGAAAGATCCATTTACAAATTTGGGAGAGTAAGTCAAGTTTCATGTGTGCTTTTTTGTCTTTGTGTGTGTGTGTGTGTGTGTTTTGAGTTTGATAGTTTTGTTTGAATGTGTGCAGNATTTTTGTTTTGTGACATTGCTGTTAATATTTGTGTTTTTACAGAGCTTATGCTTCTTGGGCTCATTTCCTTGTTACTGGGGCAATGGGCAAGGTGGATTTCCCAAATCTGTGTCAACTCATCACTGTTCAACAGTAAATTCTACATTTGTGCAGAGACAGATTATGATGACAAGAAAAGAATGTTGTTGACAGATGAATCACATCACTCCTCAAATGCCACTCATGATATTATTCCTAAAGGAGTTAGTTATGTCCCATCTCATGTTTGTGGCGAGGTAATAATTCGAGCATTTTAAGGGCCGAATTGCAATTTTAGTTCCGTAGCTAAATATTCAATCTTTAATTCAATGTTCATAATATAATATTTCAGGGTCGCGAGCCTTTCGTCTCAGCTGAGGGACTTGAACAACTTCATCGATTCTTGTTCGTCCTTGGCATCACTCATGTTCTGTACAGCTGTATAGTAGTTGGTGTTTCTATGAGCAAGGCACATTTCCCTTTTTNTTGCATCATTCGATCGTTCATTTATTATTTGTTTTGTGTGATACATTTTTTCTGCAGATATATAGCTGGAGGAAATGGGAAATTCAGGCAGGTATTGTGGCTGAGGCTAATGCACAAGGTATTTGAAGTAAGACTTCAGAAAAAAAAAACAAATCATACATTTTCCTCCTTTTAGTAACTCGTTTTATTTATTTTGTTTATTGTATTTTCCAGCGAAAAGCAAGGTGATGAGAAGGCAATCCACATTCGCATTGCATCACGCATCTCATCCGTGGAGTAGAAGTCGAATTCTTATATGGATGGTAATATTTTCATCAACTAATATTCCCTTTGATGCGTTTTTAAATTTAAAATGATTGAGTAGCATCTTCTCTGTTGAAGAAAGGTTTAATTTTTATTTTTGCAGCTTTGCTTTCTAAGACAATTTAGGAGTTCAGTGCAGAAATCAGATTACTTGGCATTGAGATTGGGTTTCATCACAGTGGGTATTTTCATTCCGTTCATCATCATAGAGACTGTATTTTTCTGTTGTGTGTTTGGAAAAATAATATTCTTGCTAACATTATTTATAAACTCTAATGTACAAATTGAAAGATGGTTACCCCAAAATTGCAGAATCACAAGCTTCCATTGTCCTACAATTTTCACAAATATATGGTGAGGAGCATGGAAGATGAATTCTATAGCATTGTCGGAATCAGGTATTCATAATTAATTGAAATTAAACAAGTAAAATTTGACTGTATTTTTTACCTTCAGATACGAATGCGGGCTTGTAATTTTTCTGATTTCATATGATTTTATCAGAACTTAGAAACCTCTGCCTCTTGCTCGACTTCTAAGTATAAATGCAGCTACCTTTCGACTTATGTAACACTTTCACAATCTTCGACAATTTTTTTTTTTTTAAATCGTGCTTACAATAACTCTAAATGCAATCAAGTTAGATGGGATTTTCATTCAAAAATTAATGTGTATGGCAGCTGGCCACTGTGGGGTTATGCTATACTATGCATCTTCATAAACATACACGGTAACAAAATTCTCAATCTCTAATCTAAACAGCACACAATATATTAACAACCTTTTTGTTTTGATTTCCTCGACATGATTTCTTTTGGGTGCAAATGTTCAGGTCTCAATATTTACTTCTGGCTCTCTTTTATACCCGTGATAGTAAGTTCTTTCACCAAGATAAATTAAAAAAGAAAAAAAAAATTAGTCCTTCCTTTTGTTTTGTCAGTATTGTTACTAATTTATTTACAAAATTTTCGAAAGCTTGTCATGTTGGTAGGCACAAAACTACAGCACGTAGTCTCGCTTTTAGCACTCGAAATTGCAGAGCCACGTGGGCCCTCACCAGTCGGAACTCAAGTGAAGCCGCGTGATGATCTGTTTTGGTTCGGAAAACCGGAGATTTTGCTGCGTTTGATTCAGTTTATATCGTTTCAGGTCATATATATTGTACAATTAATCTCTTAGTTTACTTAAATTAAAAAAATAAAAAATAAAAATTATTTATTGAAAAAGTTCTTATTAGTCTTATTACTTAATGCAGAATGCATTTGAGATGGCAACTTTCATCTGGTCCTTGGTAAGATAGACTCCATCTTCCGTTTGAAGCTCGATATCCCCATTTGACTAATTCATTTGGCTTGTTCTTTTTTCTTGTACTATTTTTCGGAATAAATTCGTGCAGTGGGGACTGAAGAAACGTTCTTGTTTCATGAAAAACGACGCGATGATAGCCATTCGATTGATTTCCGGGTGCATTTTCTTATCTTTCATAACTATTTGTTTCATATGATATTTCACTACTCCAGATAAATCTCATGTGTACTAGTATTGGATCATGTTCGACATAGTTTACAATATGTTGGTGTGAAATAGTATATTATCTTATTTTGCGTAATTAAGTGTTAATATTATTAGTTCCAATACTAAATGCAGGGTCCTTGTTCAATTCTGGTGTAGCTACAGTACTGTCCCTCTAAATGTGATCATAACAACTGTAAGTAACTATCATCATAGCCACATGACCATTCAATTTACATCATTTTGGGACATTAATTTTTTTTGTGGGTATTTAGATGGGTTCTCGTTTCAAGAAAGCGTTGATAGCCGAAAGCGTGCGTGAATCCCTACACAGCTGGTGCAAGAGAGTGAAAGCAAGATCCAAAGCAACAAATTCCATCACAACAAGGTCGACATGCTCACTAGACGAGAGAGATGAGATCATCACAGTTGCTTCGGGCACACTATCTCCATGCTCCTCATCGGGCTCCTTGGCCCAACTAGATATAGATGGGCCTTCCAGCGTGGCCCAGGATACAGATAGCACACGTTTGGACAGCTTTACTCAACACGAACACGAATTCTCGTTCAGGCAAATGCAGGAATCGAACATGATGACTGATCAGGATGAAATCGCTGGTGAAGAGAATGATGTGATGGATGATGTGGAGGAAGGCAAGGCCGACACTCTTTTCGAGTTGTTCCAAAAGACATGAGAAGAGAGAATTAATAGAGGAGATATATATATATATATATATATTTTTTTTTGTAGTATCTAATTTGATATATATGCTGGATGAGTACAATATTGTTATATAGCTAACCAGGCAAACACAATGGGGGCTGGTGGAACCATTGCCTCCCTTCAATATATTTCAGGTTATAAGTATGAAATATGGTTCAGATAGAAGCAAGCGTTGCTGTAAGAACCGTGAGAGTACTACTTATAACTAGTATGAGATATGGTTCAAATATGAGTAAAGCATTTGTAACAACTGCAAGAAGACTATCTTTAAGGTGTATAATTTTATTTTAAATCGCGTTTAAAATAAAAAATAACATTCAGTTTCGTTTTATCCACTCAATAAAATCATTCAAATTCTCATGAGATTTCCCTCCCCTGATGCCATCCATGGTTTTCCTCTGAAGATCCAAAGCTCTCTCCTTGTAGCTCTTATGGCTCAAAACACTTTCCACCTTGTCCTCAATCTCTCCACGCCCAATAATCCCATTCTCATCTTTCCTCAGCCTCAATCCAATCTTCCACTCGTTGCAAATGTACGTCTCGTTCAGAAACTGGTCCGCGAAATACGGCCAACACACAAACGGCACCCCACCGCACACAACCCCCTCGACCGTCGAGTTCCACCCACAGTGGCTCACGAAACACGCGACTGACGGGTGGGACAGAATCTGCTGCTGTGGGGCCCACCGCACTATCAGCCCCCTCTCTCCCACCCTCTCCATAAAACCATCCGGGTACGTCTCCTCTGTATCCCCCCTCACGACCCACAAAAACGGCCTGCCCGTGAGCTCGAGCCCGAGTGCCAGCTCATCAAACTGTTCTCTCCCAAACCTGGTGAAACTGCCGAACGCAACGTACACGACGGAATTAGTCGGGTGGCGGTCGAGCCAGGCCAGGCTGGCGGGGTCCGGCGGCCAGAAATAGCCCAATGACTTCCTGTGGCCGGTGCTTGCCAGGAGAGGTCCTAAGGGCGTGATGTTTGGATATGCCGAGAACACACCCGTCTCTAAGCTGAATGACGAGTTGCAAATGTGGCGGTCGGCCAGTTTTAGTAGTGAATGGAACTTTCTCGAGTTGAAAGTGGGTTTGCACCCGAACGAAGCCCATATGAAGTTGGTTGAATGAATGGGTGGCGAGTCTGGCGCGAACCGAACCATCTCGTGCTTCTGGATTCGTCCTGAAAGTAAAACCACAAACATCTTTTCACTTGGAAGTTTATTAGTTAGTTAGGAATGCTTGGATACAAATTTCTCCAAAAAAATCCAATAATTTTAAATCAATCACTTTTTTTAACCAACCTTAACCCAATCCACTATCCCTCAATATTATCAATATAATTATTATATTTATAAAATCGGGGGAAGAGGGTGCCGTCCCACCAGACGAAGCGCACTATAAGAGGGTGAGCCTAGATCTTACAAGTTAATATCCAAAAAAAACCAAAAAAAACCCAAACAAAAAAATTAATATCCAAGCATAATCTTACAAGTTTTATATATATCGAAAGATGTTTACTCTACCATGGCTGTCTATGATCCCATCACTCACTAGCTTTGGTATGCTCAACAATGAGGCTGCCGCCAGGCCGGATACTGTCCAGCAGGCCACTTTTCTAAGCCCGGCTTTATCCGCCACACCAAGGGCCCACGTCATCGACCCGTCAGCTATAACACACGTCACTTTGTCGTCTCCCCTGCCTTCAGTACAATTTTTTCCATTTAATTTATTTATAACAGCCTCAAGCTCCGGGAGCATGACCTGGCACATTCCTTCTCTTAACCTGCTGATGTCATTTCTGTCCTCCCATGGCTCCAGCCCATCTGGGATCGAGATCAAGTTAACTGATTCTTGTAGTTTGTCTGAATCAGATATTGATTTGATGACACGTGCATGATTGAAGTCGGTGTTCACGACTGTGACCTTGATGTCGTGCTGCATTGCTAGACGTTGGGAGAGCTCGAGCATGAGGAGCACGTGGCCTTGTGCCGGGTAAGGTATGGCTATTGCGTGTGGTTTACCCATGTATACTACTTGTGTTTTGGCTTCACTGGTTTTTGCTTCATAAGTGATTGTGTGCAACTCTTCCAACAAACTACTAGCTTTATTTAGGTGCTGTGCTAAAATATTCTGGTCATGGAATTGGATATTTAGTATGGCAGTCTTTTATCCATGTGATTGAAGCATGTGATTGAAGAATATATTCACGTGAATTAAATCTTATTAGTGCATAAATCAGGCACTCCATGTGTGATTTAGGATTGTGTTTTAACTTTTTCTACAGAAACATGAGAGGCATGGAAAGTGGAAACATCATATGCACACTTTATTAGTTTGTACTAAATTTGTAGACATCTAAAGTTCTTCTTACATGAATTTTCATGTTTCCTTAATCCACTCTACAAACCTCATCAAATTCTTGTAAGAGTACACTTTCCAACACTTTCGCCACACTCGCCGCTCTTTCCTTAAACCCCAAATCACCCAAAACCCTTCCCAACTTGTCCTTAATCTCTTCACTCCCAATTATCCCACTCTCATCTTTCCTCAACCTCAATCCAATCTCCCACTCTCGTCGCAAATGTATGCCTCGTTCTCAAACTGTTCCGTGAGATACGGCCAGCACACAAATGGCACCCACTTGTAGTATGGGACATTACGTCCTGCCTAACGACCCACAAAACAGCCTGCCCGCGAGCTAAAGCCCGAGCGCCAGCTCGCGGAACTGTTGTTAAACACGGCAAAACTGCCGAAAGCGACGTAAACTACGGAGCCGGACGGGGTCCTCTGCTTCCCGATACGGCTGCTCGCCAAGAGTGGGCCCATGGGCGTTAGGCACATATAGGCCCGGAATACGCCGGCTTGAGATTATCGGACTAGTTGCAAATTTGCCAGCGTGTCAGTTCGAGAGGAGAGTGGAATCTTTTCCCCCTTTACTGTTTTAGCCCGGAAATCCATAGGTCGTGAATCCGACCTCCCATCCTGTCTGTCGTAGCCCTTCTAAGGTCCTGAGGTCTAACCGACCTCACGTTTAGGTCCAACTTGTCCCCAAGCCACCCGACCTTAATGTGCGTCAAGGTCGGCTGATTTACCTGGCTCTTGGAGGTCGTTACCTCGAGGTCGGGTTGTTACTGTAACCTCGGCATCTTAAAACCATGTCCGAACTACTTGGCCCAACACCTTTTCTCTTATCTTACGGGAGTTCTCCTAGCTCCGCCACAGCCAAGCCACTCTCTTAGATCGACGTACTGAGCTATTTTCTGGGTGTTGTATCACAACCGATTCCTCGACTTTACCCGGTCCCATAAATCGAGTTATTTCTGACGGGTCCCCATGATCCGGACCGACTTGATGTACGTCAGTCGACCCATTCGCACGTGCTTCTCATATGATCCGACCCAACACCCTTTTGAGAGCACTACCTCCCAGGAAGGGAGAATTGACTGAAAAGCTGAGCATCGTAAGTCTCATTGCCCAACGAAGACTTGACTGAACCCCACATTCAGCCTAAGGACGAATCAAGCATCAACTGGCTCTGCAGCTTAGCATCCTCGCCAAGATAGCCCGGAACCTCCTAGTCATTGATGCACTCCTCCCCTGCTCGGCACAAAATCACTGTAGTCCGCGCCTACTCGTACTTGGACGATCTAAGGGCTCGCGCGCCCAGCCGACCTCACACTTAAGGGTGTAACAATATCATATGTGAAGGTTTGTGCGCTGGCATGTATATATTAGTTTTTCTGCTCAACAATTCGATCTTTTATTTGGTCATCCCTGCTTCATTCAATTGGGTCCTCAATTAAGGGAAGCTATCTCATGAGACAGACGTTCCCGCTTGAGAGCTTATCTTTATTACTTTATGCTTTGTTGGTTGGAGCTTATCTTTTTCAAGATAAAAAAGATGCCACATTTCCCATGAATTTCAGCAAAACCATCCAAGTAAAAAGCTTTCTCACTTTGTTAATTCCTTTTTTTTTTTTTTTTTTTTTTTTTTTTTTTTTTTTTTTGTTATGTAAATAATTATTTTCAGTGGTTGTAGAATTAGCATTCCGAAATTCAGGTCTAGTTCGTTAGCATAGGATCACTTGTGGAGTTGATCAGGTTGTTAAAACTAAAAACTCAACTTATACCATTCTAATTTGGTGAAAAATGTCTCTTGACATTTATTTTCTTTCATTTCATGAGTTCCCTTTACACATTAAATCTGTCATCTACAGAGAAAAACGTAACCATCAGTTTTGATATCAGAATCTCCCTCTCCTTCTCCCTTCCCTCACACCGCTGGGTTCATAAGATCATCAGACGCCAAATCCCACAACGAACAGTCCGAATTGAACATATTATTATTATCATCAGACCCATCACTCCCCTTCCCATTCTCCTCGCACTCAGCCTTTCCCACCGTGGGCCCCACCAGCGCCATGCTCGTGCTCCCGGTGCACATACTCCGGTTCCACGGCGACACATCCCCTTCAAACTCATACTGATGAAACCCCACATCCGCCCCAGTAAACTCGAGGTCCCACGCCTTGCTGGCATTATTCATCCCGGGCTCCTTAATTGCTCGGGACAGACCAAACCGAATCTTCTCAACATCACTCTTGAGGTGGGCCCCGGAAGGCGGAGGGGGGAGATGGTGGATATTGATACGGCGCTTTGCGAGAAGGTGAAGCATCTCGTCTTTGAAGCAGCCGAGGGCTGCTTCTGCCAGGCTCGGAGCCTGAGGTGGCGGCGGCAGGGTCGCGATCTCGGTTATGAGATGGGAAAACGGCTTGTGGGTCACCGGGTCGATTCCCATGCCCGACAGCTTCTTCTTCAGCTTCGTGTTCCAGTGGTTCTTCACGTCGTTGTCCGTACGACCAGGCAGCTGCGCTGCTATAACCGACCATCTATTTTTTCGTCTCCCACCAAACAAAACACAAAATGAGGAAAATGATCGGCATCTTGAAACAAACTTTTACTAATATGTATTGGTAATTTTTTTACCGGTTTCCGAGTACGGAATGAAGAGTGACTATAGTCTGCTCCTCGGCCTCGGAGAATTGGCCGTGTTTGAGGTCCGGCCTCAGATAATTAGTCCACCGCAGTCTGCAGCTCTTGCCGCATCTCTGCAGACCTGAGAGAGAGAGAGAGAGAGAGAAACAAAAATGGAAATCAATCGTGTGTGGCTAACGAGCTAGAAATAATAAACGAGACTCGATTTTGAAGTGAGACCTGCGTGTTTGGGAATGAGGCGCCAGTTGCGGGTGCCGTGTTGGGCGATGTAAGACGAGAGCTTCTGATCCTCTTCAGGTGTCCATTGGCCCCGCTTCACGTTTTCCTTCTCGCAGCACGGGATTCGGCCCATTCCTCTGACTCGGAAACTCGTGTTCT